CAGCAGAGTGACTGAATTCATTCTGACTGGATTCCCTGGACTTCATCCAGAGTACTATGGTCTTGTTTCAGCTCTTTTGTTCTTTGTGTATTTGATGACTGTCATAGCAAATGCTTCAGTTTTACTCTTATTTGCAACTAACCGCTGCCTCCATAAGCCAGTGTATTATATTATTTTAAATCTGTCAACATGTGACCTTCTGTTCAGCACAACAACTTTACCTAAAGTCATCAGCAGGTATTGGTTTAAATCAGGGTCCATTTCATTTAACGGCTGTTTTGTCCAAATGTTTTTTGTTCACTATCTTGCTTCAGTGAACTCTTTTATATTTTTCCTCATGGCTTTTGACAGGTATTGTGCAATCTGCATCCACTCAAATATATGGCTGTTTTTACAAAAATCCGAATACTTATTCTCAGTCTGGCTGCATGGATAATTGCCAGTGTATTCTCATTAATGTTATTTAGAGCATATCCTCTTCCTTATTGTGGCTCAAATGTAATCAATCATTGTTTCTGTGAGCATATTGGGATAACAGTTCTGGCCTGCACTGACAGGACCCCATTTGCTCTTTCAGCTTTTGTGAATGCAATGATTGTACTGCTTGTCCCTCTGGCATTCATAGTTTTCTCATATTGCTCCATACTTTTGGAGGTAAGAAAGGYAGCAGGTTGGAAAAATCGTCTTAAATCTTTGTCAACATGTAGCACTCAGCTGATAATAATCACTCTTTATTATTTACCAAGATGTTTTGTATATTTGGCCAGTAATGTTGGGATTAGTTTCAGTGCTGATGTGCGGATTGTAATTGTAATGCTTTATAGCCTTGTTCCTCCAATGGTCAATCCTCTGATTTACTGCCTGAGAGCGAAAGACATAAGAGAATGTTTGTGGAAGCAATTTTACAGAATTGTGCCTCCAAAGGTACAAGTTTCAACAATCAGTACCTGATAAATCAAGTATATATGATAAAAAATCACAGTTTTTGTTTAAAGATGTGTTCTTTTTAAATCAAGACTAAAAAGAAAAAAAAAACAATATCATAAAATAAGGTTTTTCATTACATTATTGCATTCTCACCCAAGAGCTCTGAGGCCTAAGGTTGAAATCTTAGCTGGGGTGCTGCTATGTGATTTTTTTTTATGAAAACTTTCTTTGTATTATTCCAGGTTTTTTTTTTTATTTTAATAGGTGAAAATACATTCATGTTTTTTTTTTTTTTAAGAATATGCTGTCAAACTGATCATCTGTGATCCAAATCTGGCCCCCGCTGACTTTTTTCTGGCCCCAAAGGTGTTACTTAGAATGTCAAATAGCTTTTTATTTCACTTTTTGTCATTGTATTTGGTGTATTTTTTCCATGATAGTTGTCCAGCTGTCAAACCAAGAAAATTAAGTTTTGATTTTTCAGTAATCTTTGATTTTGGTGTGGAAAAAGTAACAAACTTTTTTCGTTGTCTTTTTGTTTTAAAAATCAAACAGATTTTTAGAGAGGATTCTCTTGTTACCTGATTTGATGGATTGTGATAAAATGTATTTCTAAGATAAACTTGCTGATAGAAATCAAGGTGTAAGAAATAAATACTAATGATGACTTTCTATTTTTTTGTTATCTGTTGGGAAATGTATGTCATAAACACTACATGAAACACAATTTGAAAATGTTCATTTGTGTTTCTATAAGAATAATTTGCTATATAATTGTCTGTTTCCGTTTCCCATCCATCCGTTTTTTGCCGCTTATCCGGAATCGGGTCATGGGGGCAGCAGCCTAAGCAGAGAGACCAAGACTTCCCTCTCTCCAGCCACTTGGGCCAGCTCATCCAGGGGAATCCCAATGTGTTTCCAGGACAGCTGAGAAACATAGTCCCTCCAGCGTGTCCTGGATCTTCCTCTGGGCCTCCTCACATGCCCGGAACACCTCACCAGGGAGGCGTCCAGGAGGCATCCTAACCAGATGCCCGAGCCACCTCAACTGGCTCCTCTCGACGTGACGTAGCAGCGGCTCTACTCTGAGTCCCTTCCGGATGACCGAGCTTCTCATCCGTTCTCTAAGGGAGAGGACCTCCTCCCTGACCCGGAGGCGGCACGCTACCAGTTTCCAGCTCAAGACCATGGTCTCGGATTTGGAGGCACTGATCCTCATCCCGGCCGCTTCACACTTGGCTGCGAACCGCTCCAGCGAGAGCTGGAGATCATGATCTGATGAAGCCAATAGGACCACATCATCCACAAAAAGCAGAGATGTGATGCTAAGGTCACAAAAAAGGATCCCCTTAACACCTTGGCTGCACCTAGAAATTCCACAAAAAGTCCACAAAACACATGTAGACTGGTTGGGCGAACTCCCATGCCCCTCTTCAAGAACCCTGCTGAGGGTGTAGAGCAGGTCCACTGTTCCACGACCAGGACGAAAACCACACTGCTCTTCATGAATCTGAGATTCGACTATCCAACGGACCCTTCTCTCCAGGACCCCTGAATAGACCTTACCAGGGAGGCTCAGAAGTGTGATCCCCCTATAGTTGGAACACACTCTGCAGTCCCCCTTTTAAAATAGGGGGACCACCACCCTGGTCTGCCAATCCAGGGGAACTGCCCCCGATGTCCACGCAATATTGTAGAGTCGCGTCAACCAATGCAACCCCACAACATCCAGAGCCTTAAGGAACTCTGGGCGAATCTCATCCAACCCCGGTGCCCTGCCACCAAGGAGCTTTTTAACCACCTCAGTGACCTCAGCACCAGAGATTGGAGAGTCCGACCCAGGGTCCTCAGGCTCTGCTTCCTCATGGGAAGACGTGTCGGTAGGATTGAAGAGGTCTTCAAAGTATTCCGCCCACCGACCCACAATGTCCCAAGTTGAGGTCAGCAGTGCACCATCCCCACCATAAATAGTGTTGGTGGCAAACTGCTCCCCCCCCCGAGATGCAGGATGGTGGACCAGAATCGCCTTGAAGCCTTAAGGATGTCTTTTTCCATGGCCTCTCCGAACTCCTCCCATGCTCGAGTTTTTGCCTCAGCAACCACCCGAGCCGCATTCTGCTTGACTGCCAATACCTATCAGCTGCTTCCAGAGTCCCACAGGCCAAAAAGACCCAATAGGACTCCTTCTTCAGCCTGACAGCATCCCTCACCGCCAGTGTCCACCAGCAGGTTTGAGGGTTGCCGCCAAGACAGGCACTGACAACCTTACGGCCACAGCTCAGGTAAGCCGCCTTGACAATGGAGGCACAGAACATGGCCCACTCAGACTCAATGTCCCCCACTTCCCCTGGAACGTGTTATAAGTTCCCCCAGAGGTGTGAGTTGAAGCTCGGTCTGATGGGAGACTCTGACAGACGTTCCCAGCGAACACTCACTATAAGTTTGGGCCTGCCAGGTCTGACTGGCATCCTCCCCTACCAAGGGAGCCAACTCACCACCAGGTAGTGGTCAGTTGACAGCTCAGCAACTCTCTTCACCCGAGTGTCCAAAACATGCGGCTGCAGATCATATGAAACGACAACAAAATTGATCATCGAACTGTGGCCTAGGGTGTCCTGGTGCCAAGAGCACATATGGACTCATTTATGTTTGAACATGGTGTTTGTTATGGGCAAAACATGACAAGCACAGAAGTCCAATAACAAAACACCGCTCTGGTTCAGGTTGGGGGGGGTGGGGACATTCCTTCCAACCACGCCTCTCCATGTCTCACTGTAATTACCTACATGAGCGTTGAAGTCCCCCAGAAGAGCGAGGGAGTCCCGGTTAGGAGCGCTTTCCAGCACTCCCTCCAAGGACTCCAGAAAGGGTATTCTGAACTGCTGTTAGGCGCATAGGCACAAATAACAGTCAGGACCGATCCCCCCACCCATAAGCAGAGGGAGGCTACCCTCTCATTCACTGGGGTGAACCCCAACGCACAGGTACCGAGATAAGTATGCCCTCTCCTGCTCGGCACGTCTCAGCGTGGGCAACTCCAGAGTGGAAGAGTGTCCAACCCCTCTCGAGGAGACTGGTTCCAGAGCCAGAGCGGTGCATCGAGGTGAGTCCAACTATATATAGTTGGAACCTCCAAACCTCACTCACCAGCTTAGACTCCTTCCCCACCAGAGAGGTGACATTCCACGTCCCTAGAGCCAGCTTGGCGGTCCGAGGATTGGACCACCAAGGTCCCCGACTTCGACCACTGCCCAACACACATTGCGCCCGACCCCTACCTACCCTCCCACAGGTGGTGAGCCCATGGGAAGGGGGACCCACGTCTTCTCTTCGGACTGTGCCTGACCGGGCTCCATGGGTAAAAGCCCGGGCACCAGGCGCTCGCCAAAGTCCCCCACCTCCAGGCCTGGCTCCAGAGTAGGGACCCGGTGACCCACGTCCGGGCAAGGGAACACTTAATCCATTTATTGGGTTCATCATAGGGGTCTTTGGGCTGCACTTTGTCTGATCCCTCTGTTTGCCTTGGGTGAGAGACAGGGTACCCACTGAACATGTCACCACTCCATCACAGAACCACATATGTAGAAACAAATGAGAGAGTTTACCATTCACACACAAAGTCACAACTAGTAAGCATTTAGAATTCCCAAACTGCATGTCAGACATCCAGAGAGAATATAGAGATGATGGGAAAAAAACTCCACCTTCATCACAGGGCATGCTGGGAAAAGCTATTTTAGCAGGTAACAAGCGGATGAGTGGTCAGAGTACTCTGGTGCTCTGTTCATAGGAAAGATATTTCCAATTTGAAAAAGCATGCTTCTCTGTGCCTACATTTCTGTTTTCTTATGACTTAAGAAGTTAGTTTGATGTATAAATATGAAATTTCATGCATATTATTTTTCTTTAATTTAGGAGTACAGAAAAAAATCAGAAACAGAAATTTTGAAAAGAAAAATAATGGATTTGGTTCTACTTTGTATTTCTAAAAGAAAACAATATATTTTTCTTAAAAATTTGATATAACTGTTCATCTTTATAATCTTAAGACAAAGTTTAATTTAATGTGTCGTGTGCTTTTCGGTGTTTAAAGACTTTTCTTCCTCATCATGTCAGAGAGAAATGACAGCAGAGCAACTGAATTCATTCTGACTGGATTCCCTGGACTTCATCCAGAGTACTATGGTCTTGTTTCAGCTCTTTTGTTCTTTATGTATTTAATGACAGTCATAGCAAATGCTTCAGTTTTACTCTTATTTGCAACTAACCGCTGCCTCCATAAGCCAGTGTATTATATCATCTTAAATGTATCTGTATGTGACCTTCTCTTCAGCACTACAACTTTACCTAAAATCATCAGCAGGTATTGGTTTAAATCAGGGTCCATTTCATTTTTTGGCTGCTTTGTCCAAATGTTTTTTGTTCACTATCTTGGTTCAGTGAACTCTTTTATATTTTTCCTCATGGCTTTTGACAGGTATTGTGCTATCTGCCATCCACTCAAATATACAGTTGTTTTAAAAAATATCAACACCCATATTTTCAGTCTGACTGCATGGATGATTGCCAGTCCATTACCTTTAATGTTAGTCATTAGAGCATATCCTCTTCCTTATTGTGGCCCAAATGTAATCAGTCATTGTTTCTGTGATCATATTGGGATAACAGTTCTGGCCTGCACTGACAGGGCCCTGTATGCTGTACCAGCTTTTATCAGTGCAATGATTACACTCCTTGTCCCGCTGGCTTTCATAGTTTTCTCATATTGCTCCATACTTATGGAGGTAAGCAAGATAGCAGGCTGGAAAAATCGTCTTAAATCTTTGTCAACATGTAGCACTCAGCTGATAATAATTTCTCTTTATTATTTACCAAGATGTTTTGTATATTTGTCCAGTGTTGTTGGGATTAGTTTCCGTGCTGATGTGCGAATTGTAATTATAATGCTTTATAGCCTTGGTCCTCCAATGGTCAATCCACTGATTTACTGCCTGAGAGCGAAAGACATAAGAGAATGTTTGTGGAAGCAATTTTACAGAATTGTGCCCCCAACGGTACAAGTTTCAACAATCAGTACCTGAGAAATCAATGAACTGAAATTAAATGACTATTCTGTTTAGAAATGTATTTTTAAGAATCAAGTCTTTCTAAGCTTTTTTTAAAATAAGAGAATAATTTATCATAAACCTGCTCTGTGTTGATTATCATTATCTCCTTAGAGCTTTAAGCCCTCAGGTTTAACTATTGGTTGGGGCTTTTCTGTATGGTTTGCATGTTTTTTTATGTAAATGATAATTATTTGTGGATACTTGCTTTTTTATTTTTCTTTTAGAAGCTTGCATTTTATTTCATTTTCTTAAGTGTCTAAAATGTTTTCAGAATGAGCGCTTGGTTGACATGTCAGATAAGAAATCACAAAGTTAGAAAACTGCAGCCTTAATGTGTATTTTTGCAAAGAGGCTTGGACGTTTTGATCATCTAAACCAAAGTTTTACAAGTGGCACGGTGGATCTGTTGGTAGACCTGATGTCGCTCAGCCAAAAGGTCGCCAGATCGATTCCCAGCTGAGGATCTACCAATACCATGCAAAGTCTTGGACCTGAAGGACAGCCCCTCATTAAAGCTAAACAACCAAAAAAATCTGAAGCTCCTGTGTTTAATAGTTTTTGAGCTATAACCATTTTTGTATGTCCAGATACCCCTTTTTCAGATAAATTGGGGGTCAGGGGTGGGGGGCACTGATTGGAGGGCCTGATGGATAGAGCTTTATCAGAGCTAAACAACAAAAGAAATCTGAAGCTCCTATGTTGAACAGTTTCTGAGTTATAAGCGATTTTTTATGTCCTGACACCCCCACTTTGAAAGGAGCCCCCTCCTCAAATATGGGTTCTATCATAAAACCATTGACTGGTGCAGTGTTGGTCAGACTCTTCTACAATCCTGCCAAATTTCATGTTGATCGGTGCAGCCGTTTTTGTGGTACGGTTGACCAAAAATCACTGAAAAAAAGTAAATAACACGAAAACAATATGACTCCCACTTACGCTTTGCGTGCGGGGGTACGGAAGCGTAGAGCTGCCACATGACATTAAATTATTTTCAAACTTGATCTCATTATAACAAGAAAACTGTCTCGTTATAACGAGAAAACTATCTTGTAAAAACGAGAAAACTATCTTGTTATATCAAGATAACTATCTCGCTGTAACGTGTTAAGACTTCTTCTGGTTTGTCACTTTCAAGGAAGTTTATTGCCTGGATGGCATGATGGAGAACACGACTGAACCACTATATAAACAAAAACAAACAGAATTATTTGGTTTTGTGCTCAGATGTTGCAGCTATTAGCACTTAATAATATTCACTATCTAATCTGAATTCAGATGCTATTAATTCAAAAACATTATTCAGTACTAGCTTATCATTTTTTAGTCTAGAAATGTGTTTGTCTTGCAGATTTCTTCTTTGTAAAAAGGCATATAGTGGTTCAGTCGTGTTCTCCATCACGCCATCCAGGTAATAAACTTCCATGAAAGTGACAAACCAGAAGAAGCCATAACATGTTATGACAAGATGGTTACCTTGACATAACAAGATAGTTTTCTTGTTTTTACAAGATAGTTTTCTCATTTTTAAAAGATAGTTTTCTCGTTTTTACAAGATAGTTTTCTCATTTTGACAAGATAGTTTTCTCGTTATAACAAGATAGTTTTCTCATTTTTACAAGATAGTTTTCTCATTTTCTCGTTATAACAAGATAGTTTTCTCATTTTTACAAGATAGTTTTTTCGTTATAACGTGATAGTTTTCTCATTATAACGAGATAGTTTTCTCGTTGTAGCGAGATCCAGTTTAAAAATAATTTAATGTCATGTGGCAGCTCTACGCTTCCGTACAGGGGTCAAAATTATCATAAAGTTAACTGCCTTTAAAACAAGCTAAGCTGTCTCAGGTAACAGACTTAAAGGTTTAAGAAAAGACCATGACTTCCTTATTAGCTACAAACATCTATCCCATTTTTGTCACCCACGTCTTGTGCAAGATCATGGGAAGTTGGTGTCAATTTTTCGGAGTCACTGTGAGAGACAAGGTACGCACCGAACAGGTAACACACACATCTCCGTCACAGGGCCACATAGAAACAATTGTAACAGTTTACCATTCACACAATAACTCACAACTAGTTTAGGTTTACCAAACTGCACGTCAGACATCCTGAGAGAATACAGAAACGATGGACAATAACTCCACCTTCATCACACGGCATGCTGGGAAGTTATTTTAAGCAGGTAACAAACACATGAGTGGACAGAGTACTCTGCTGCTCTGCTTAGGAAAGGTATTTCCTAACTAAAAGAACTAAAAACATGATGAATATTTTGTTTAAAAGGTAATAAATGTAAGGAATATTGGAAAAAAAAGGTTTATTTTTCAATAAATATTTAATTAATATGGTTTTTTAATCAAGTGAAGTAATGGGTATTGTTGATGTTTTTGTGATTCTGACAAAGATTGATTAATTTGTCCAATGTGTTACATTCATTTCAATATAATATAGAAGTTCTTTCTGCATCATGTCAGAGAGAAATGACAGCAGAGTGACTGAATTCATTCTGACTGGATTCCCTGGACTTCATCCAGAGTACTATGGTCTTGTTTCAGCTCTTTTG